TAGCCCCTGCCTGATATCAGAGCCCTTAAGAGCTGTATAACTCGAGTTGGCTTACAAAATAATCTCGTTTTATTTGTTTTGATTAGAACCCTATTAAAAATTCAGTAATCAAATTTGATCTCTTATATGTTAAGAGATAGAGCTGAATTGAATTTTTCATAAATACTCATGTGTATTTTAATAGAATTTTAATGTTTCCCGTTTCCTTTCAAAATTTGCAAAAATCTTATTTTAAATACTAGAGACTGTGATTCCATATACTCGGATATTAATATACACATATAAATGTCTTTATCAGCTCTTTATTGGGCTTAGGGAATCTCGTAGTCGAGCAGCCTGGACTAAAGTTCTCTTATCTATTTAGCACATGTTTCAATTTTTACTTTTTTATTTATATATATATTTTGTAGATAGATATAACATTATTTATGTATCAAGAGATTTGTGCATTTGCCTAATTAACAAAATGCAATTCATAAACATTTGTTGTTGCTGCCTGCTGCTGTTGTTGCTGTTGTCACTAATTCAGTTAATAAATAATTAAAATGGTTTTTCTTGTCTCTTTGGCAACTTTCGCAGCTCGCTCGCATAAAATTATATGTAAATTTAATAGCATTTTGATAATGCAGTCGATAATATGCAAAAGTTTAAGCTATGCATTTTTGTTGTTTTTGCTAAATGTAAAATACATCGAATGAAACATAAATGAAGGCTGAGGGCCCAGGTGATACGCTCAGTATGATGTGTTAATTTTGCGCTCAAGTAATTATTATAATTAATTATTCACTTAATTCTAATTAATATTAATGCGCGTAGCATTAATTTGCATTGAAATGTTGCCAAACATCTGTTTATGAATCCAAACATGAATATGGCTTATTTCTTTGTGCAATCAATCAAAATACTCATGCATGAATATTTCAAGTCAAGTTAGTAAAATATTCAAATTGTTTCTTTTTTCTATGCACAATCATTCAATCAAATGTAATAGATGTCTGTGTGTGTGTGTGTGTGAGTGTGTGTGTGTGTGTGCCTGCGTTTGACAGCTGCATTCGCTTTGTCTGATTCCATATCATTTTCAGCTGTCATACAACTTCCGGCTAGGCCACAACTCACTGCATTTCTACACACTTATACTCACATATGTATGTGTTTGCTGTGTCTGTGTTAACTGACATCTATGCACGTAATTGGAATATCAGCTGTTGGCAGGCTCACATACTCCCGTCCCGGCACAAGAGGGTTGGGAGAAGTAACGAAAATGAAATAGAATAGATGCAAAGTATCTCAGTCTCAGTCTCTCTCTCTCTCTCTCTCTTTCTCTCTCTCTCTCTCTCTCTCTCTCTCTCTCTTACTCTTCTACCACAATCAACTTCAGATTCGCATTTTATTCTTCCATTTTATTGTTTCTGCTATGATATCTGATGAGCTATCGAAAGTGAAAACATTGCTATCGAATGCAATTGCACGATTGAACAATTGAACGCTTCTTGTATACATTTTCAAACCGAGTTACAGTTGGGCATCACCGACTGCGCTATACTTCGTTTCTACTTTGTGCCCCATTGAAAATGGAAAAAATTTTGTAGCCGACTTGCAACGCCCCAGTGGGTGCACACATATAATTTCGGACAAGTGCTCTAAAGAAGACTCAGGTAACATACCTGTAAAACTGAGATGCTTACGCTCCATTAATATGCAAGTTACAGGGTATTTTTCGAGGCGCCATGCCCCAATACCAATATATGTAGTTGGGTTATCGATAGAGAAGATTATTAGTAACTCAACTGTCTACTTTTGATATATAAGTTGGTAAGCCACGCCCCCTGTGGGGGGGCGATCTTGTATTATCAACCCTATAATAACATTTACCAAGCTACAAGCTACATCAATACTGCCTAAAATAAAGCAGAAATAATAAAAAAAAAACACTCCATATTCAGATCCGATTTGGCATTTTCTGATTTGTCACGCTCCGAGAGGGCGTATCGGGAAAATCTCTTCCGGCTACAGAGCATATTCTAGTTAATCACAAGTCAAAGTTCTAGGTTGACTTTGTTTACGCGCTAAATACATGTATAAATGTATGTGTGTGTGTATGTGTGTGTACTCGTACTAAGAGAACTGGAACAACTTTGATTCCATCTATTGGAAATTTTTTGGGGGTAGAGGCAGGCAAAAGCAGAACAAAAAGCTTTCGCCAATGGGGTCAATAAACCAGAGCACGCGTTAAGCTCGAACTACAGCTGTGGCATTGTTTGAAACCTGGCTATAGCTAGGGCTAGCACCTCTATTTATGCCTATTTTGCAAAGAGCTTTTTGGGACAAACATATTTTTATGGCAACGTTGCCATAACTTTGAATGGTTGGGGTATGTGCTAATGCGTTCCACACTTAACGACTGTAAAAGCTAACGAAATGTTTACAAGTGTAAAAGCTGAGATTTTGATGTATGTTAACAGAATGTTAATAGTTGCTTAAGCATAGACACGAACCCTGTTAAAAGAGTTTTAAATTAATTTTTTATTTTTTAATTAACAAAACAGATATTAAAATTGTTTTTTTTTTAACTTTTTTTTTTTAACTTAAATTTTATATTCATACATAATCATATATATTTTTTATTTTAGAGTTTTTAAAATTTGCCCCCAAGAAAGAGCTTGGTATGATTGTTGGTTACTCAGCCAGACGGTAAACAAAACAGATTCCCAAATTATAGAAGG